GGAGCAGAACAAGCCTCGAATTCGATGGGTGATTCGGAATTGCTAAATAGGTTGATAGTCGGATTAGAGTTGAAGCGATGCATACTTGCATAGACGGGAAATTGGATTATTTCAGAATGGTAATCATCCTTGTCAATCTAACAGTTGTTACATAATGTGAGATTTTCTTTTTCTTTTGTGAAAATTGTTGGTCTTGCTGAACTGACTCGTCACATATCTCCATGAATTTGAAGACTGACTTTCTTTGTGAAATAAGCTGATAGTCAATTTGATTTGGAAAATTAGATGGTTTAAAAGTGACAGACGTTGTTATTGATTGAATGATTTCATAATTTTCAAGATTATCTTTTTTATGGAATAAGCTGATAATCAATTGGATCTGGAAAATGAGATTATTTCAGAATGGTAATCTTCGTTGTCAATCTAGTCATTTCGTAATGTTCAGGATAATTTTCTTTTTCTTTTGTGAAAATTGTTAGCCTTGCTGAACTAACTCGTCACATATTTCCACAATTTTCAAGACTGACTTCCTTTGTGAAATACGCTGATAGTCAATTTGCTTTGCAAAATTAGGTCATTTAAAAATGGTAAACATTGTTATTGATTCAGTGATTTCACAATTTTCAAGATAATCTTTTTCCGTGAAATAAGCAGATAATCGATTAGACAAGGGAAATTAAATCCCTTGCTTACAAATGGCAGTCATTGTTATTAACCCGTCAGATATACTCTGAAAATTTGTCAGTTCGACCAACTTCAACACTTTCCCAATGAAAATCTCCCATTTCCAAACGAAAAGAAATAACAAAATAAATTTATTTACACAATAGCCTCCTCCTATTCCTCATTTTCGTCGATGAAAATGAAACGAAATAACGAATGCCAGAAACTGCCAACGTCTCCATGATGGCACAACCCGTCTGCAAACACTTAATTTAGTCGTTTCGTAATTTTCCAGACTTCTTGCGAAAATTCTCCATCTCTCCGATCTATCCCGTCAGACACCTCCGCGAGTCTTCTTGCCATAATTTTCCTTCGTTTAATAAACACATCTGAGGCCCGGATCGACGGACGCAGGCCCGCGATGAACCCCCATAACGGTAGAAAAGCCATTTCCCGTGCTTCATGGTGAATTGGGGTACATGGCCCGAGACGATTGCCTCGTAGCCAATTGACGTTTCGTGGTTGGTGGTTAACATAGCCGGGGATAGACCGGGAATTGAATTTTTTGGCGGCATTAAGTCGTCCGGGGCTCGCATCGAAGGCGATGTTACGCGTCACACGGTTTTATCGGCATGATTCATAGGCGGCATTATCTCGTTATTCCTTTCGCGCGTTTTCCACCGATCGGTGTATTCCTTTTCGAAGGGAAATGATTTATTATGCGGACTCTCTGTGCAACCGGTAAATATATGCACGCGACTTTACATACGTAATATGGATGAGATACTGTCAACGCCGTCAACTAACAAGTTTACCTCGACTCGGCCGGCTATCGTTTGTTTCCTGCGCGAATGATGTATCGCGCGAGAAAACCGATAAAAATGCGTCAGATAATAAATCTATAATAACCGAAATGCTCATTTTTCACGTTCGCGATAACGACGAACGCGGGGGGTCGAAAAACGTGCGCGACTCGGACATGCTAAAATGGAAACAACGGAATGAACGGTGCCTGTGCCACGTTAAAAGCCAGTTCGATTACTCGTCCATGTGGTAAGATGTGGTTACATCGATGAAGTCGAAGGATTATATCGGGAAAACGAAAGGAAAAGGAAAGCGCAGATGCGCATAACGATTTACACTTGGCAGAAGTTCCATCGAGTAAATGAAAGGCTGTCGTTTCTGCTTTTCTTCTTTAGGGAATATGACGTTGTCACGAATTACGAAGTATTCGCTTATCGATTCGATTCGCGATTGTATTGTACTTTGATCGATTGATTGTATCGCGATTGATATAAACGAAATGACAGAAACGCAGGAAACGAGGGAACAAAAGATGACAGCGGTTTGCCAAAAACCAGTTACGTGCGAAGTCGCGAGAGGTTACGTCGATGACATCGTTGGAAATTGTCGAAAGGAAGGAAAAGATTCTCATTTAAAAAAATTTTGATCGAGGAAAACGAGGAAACACGAGGTTGTCGTAAATTATGGAACATTTATTTATCGATTCGCTATACTTCCCGATTGCGTGATATCTATATTTAAATAAAAGGATCAACGTGAATGAAAGAAGGGAACGGATGCCAAAAACAAATTATGTTACGCATAACGTGCGAAGAAATTATTACATACGCTACATCCTAAAGAAGAAGAAGAAGAAGATGAAGAAGAGAGTGGATAAACACAGCGATTTTCATCTGACTGTTCGATCGAGTGAACGAAAGGATGTCGTAAAAGATGAAGAAAAGAGTGGATAAACACAGCGATTTTCATCTGACTGTTCGATCGAGTGAACGAAAGGATGTCGTAATGTTTGCTGTTTTCAGGAAACACGACGTTATTGTAAATTACGAAACATTTATTTATTGATTCACTTTACTTCACGATTGTATCTTGATCGGTCTCTACGATCAATATAAACATAAGCATCGGAGTGTGCCCAAATACGTTCTTATCGTACAGGCTATATACATTATCGAATAGAATGTCAAGGAATATAATGTCACACTTAATAGAACGTTCTCGTAAACTCGTGCACTTGCTTGCTTAAGACTGGCTAATTACACTAGGATTCGCCCTCCTCCTCGTTCCTTTAGAACAGAACGTGCCGCGTTAATGCTTCTTAATAACCTCTACGCTCCTATATTTAATCTGATAAACATCGTTTTGGTATATCGTCACAGCGACTCTGTGCATTTAAATCGTTTGATTGCTACTCGTCTCTCCCCGGGTAACGCGTCTTCCGGTTTCCGTTCGACGCCGCATCGCTACACCTTTTAATCTAGATCCTCGTTATTGGTCGTTCTTCTCTATACTTTCTCGATAAAAATAGACGATATCTCCGCAGCGTTATTTACAATCGTGCACGTGACGCGAGCCCGGGCTCGATTTCTTATACGCGGATTTCCGCGCCGAAACCTCCAACTAGGCCCGACGATCTCGTCGTCTGACGTGCACAGGAAATTTCCACTTTGCCCCGGGACGACGAACTCCAATTCCAGAGGGAACTCTCGTCGAGCACGATGGCGGATCGGTCGGGTCAACCGGACTATGAAATTTTCCGAGAAAAATCAAACTCCTATCGAAATTGGAACCCTCCGAATTCCTACATTCCTCTAAGACGAGAAAGAAACGCAGCTAAGTCCACGTGGAAGTTATCGACAAGTATTTTCGGTTATTTTCTTTTTTTTTCCTCGCTAATTTTTCAACGTTTCGTTCGATAGCAGGCGTCACTGTACATTTCCTTTGCAACGAAGCCTCGTGCGCGAGGAAACGTCGTCGAACGACTCGTCGACGTGAACATGAACGGGTGTATCGTGGTGGAACATTTCGCGACAGTTCCCTATATACTTAAGACACTAAGACCGCACACTTACGTAATGACATACGAAATACGATGCACTTTAATCACATAGCGATAAGACTTTCTTTACACGACTATATACATGCGCACGTTATCCGGGTTATGTACAGTTTCACGTGTCACGCGGAAAACCATTTCCTCTTCCGAGGTCCTCCCGTACAGTTTGTATCGAGGTTACCTAACAAATCACAGACACTAAAGTCACAGTCGAAAATTCGTGGAAGATCGAGGGATGCTCCGTTCGACGACTCGGAAACGTGACAATGCGCCGTGGAATATTTCCAATTATTTCTCGTCGAATTATCAACGATACAAGGATCCGACACGCGAGGAGACAACGTCGAAGGTGATCGAGACTTCCGAAACGCGACTGAACGTGAAGAAACTCGACCTCTGGGTCTCTAGAGACGAGAGAGGCTTCGACAGTCCTTCGATTCCGTGTCCTGTTGTCGCGACAATTTGGAGCAGTAACTCGCGATCTTTTCGCACTCTCTCGTCGACGGTCGCATAGTTATTGACACCTAACCGGACGCGACAATTTGGAACAGTAACTCGCGATCTTTTCGCACTCTCTCGTCGACGGTCGCATAGTTATTGACACCTAACCGGGGTACTCGGATTCAGGAACCCGTCCTTTTCACCCGGTGACACTCGACGAACGTCCTCCAACATCGTCGCTCGGCTCTCGAGTACTCGTCGTGGTACTTCACGCTTAAAGAGGCCTCGCGCGAGACTCGAGACGATGATTAGCGTGTTCCTCGTTGACAACGGTCCTCGGGAACTTCCCCGTTAGTAGCCCGACGAACCAGACACTCTGGCCAACTCTGGAGCGATCGGTGCGCACCAGCGGCAGAAAAAAACGGGTAACCGACACCGTCAGCACCCATTTGTTTTACCAGACCAGCCGCTCGATCTTTCTTCGTATCATCCAGATGACGATGACTCAGCCATCCTTGATCGAAAGGAGAGCCGGAGGATCGCGCAGGCAACTCGAGCGCCGTCCCATCCTCTGCGCATTCAGGTCACCGTTTCGCTCGGAATTGCTACAATGGGTAATCTCGATTCGCGCGAATCGCTTCTAGACCAGGTGTTTTCTTCCGTCCCAGGGTACCCGCGAGATTACGCCAGAATTCGTCATCGAGAACGGTCGTAATGGATCGCCGCTTCCGGCTTCTAGCGCCTCGAGCCTCCTCTTCGCCCGGCGGATCATCCATCAAACAATGATTCGCTGAAGGAAGGATCAAAGGGTGACGCAGCTCCTCTAGCCTTCTTCCTGTTCGAGTCTCTACCCTTATGCGTCCAGTAGATCACTCACGCGATCCATCGACCACGTCCCGAACGGTCTCCACAGCCTCGTCTCACCGGAGAACGGGATGGAGACGTTCCTCTATGACCAAACAGCAACGAACCCCTGGCCAGCAGCGCCAACGAGACCCGACAGTCGACTCGAGTAGTCCGGTTCCCCGGACGGATGTTACAGCGCCGTCAGCCCGTAATCGGACTTGATCGCCGGTGGCGGAATGGGCGCGGAGACCTGCGACAGCCCTGACGGACTGGTCGCCGGGGCCAGGGGACTGATACTTCCGGAGCCGATGTGTCCCAACGGTCCTCCCGTCGGGCCCTCCATCATGCCGCTCACATGGTGATGACTCAGCTGTGCTTGAAGATGGGCCAGAGGATGCGGGTGACCTTGGAAGCTCGGATGGACCACGTTCGTATGCGGAAGGGCGGCGTTCACCGCGTGCACGTCAGCCATGTCCGTCAGGCCGACGCTCGAGTCCAAGCCAGCGTCGATCCCGCTCGACGGCGAGTTGTTGTTGTTCTTCCTCTGGCTGTTGTTGTTCCCGGTGGCCAATTTGGACCTGGTAGCCGGTGTCTTGGACGGCTTTGCCGACGGTGGCGCCGCCTGGCCGTTCGCGTTCTTCCTGCGTACGTTCTTCGTGTTGGGCAGCTTGTTGTCCTTCTTCCACTTCATGCGACGGTTCTGGAACCAGATCTTAATCTGCCGCTCGGACAACACCAGGGTATGAGCGATCTCGATCCGTCGCCGTCTCGTCAGGTACCTATTGTAATGGAATTCCTTCTCCAGCTCGAGGATCTGGTGCCTCGTGTACGCGGTCCTCTGCCGCTTCGGCTCCATCCCCGGCTGGTACGAGCCGTTCGCTGCAAGAACCAAACAGAGATCGGGTCGAGTTAGTTGAGACTGGCTTCTTTGGGGGCTCGCATCTGATCTGATCTAATGACGCTCTGTACGTTTGCGTGTGCGTCGAGCACGATCGAGGCGAGTTCGTAACCCGACGACGGCGTAGAGGGATAGAAGGTACCGTGTTTGCGAATAAATAGCTATGATTGGCTTTTCCTGTCACACCGCGGGGTTTTAGCGAATATCAAGTAATCGTTTCGGCCTTGCCTATCCGAACAAAATGCCACGGCAGAAATACCCAACCGCTTACCCAAGCAATTACACGTAGATGTAATCGCGTAATTTTTCTACTTTAACACGCTGGCAATCGATTTTCCCTATTTACTCGAGCCTCGTATGGAAGCACGAACGGCCTACGAGTACCACGAGCAACGGTTCCCCTGACACGGCCTTCTATCGTATATTTTCTGTCACCCTTGACGATGCTCCCTTTAACCCACTTCTTTACGCGTCACGTACGATAATTCTATCTCTCGAAAAGTGACCCGAATACGGGAGAATACCCCTCTACCTGCCTCGCAGCGGACGACAAAGTGGAAGAACCAGGCAATACGAGAAACTTCGATTCTCACGATACCCGATATTCCTCAACCCGGTCTCGAAAACGGCCTATCTGATGGTCGAGGGAATGGAAGAAAAAAAGTAGAGGAACCGAAAGTGAATCGACGTAGCGAATGGAAAGTACAAGTATACCAGGCGATTAATAACGAGCAGAGGGACATTCTTCAGGCGTATTATCTCGAACGTTAAATTCGTTGCAGCGTTCGAGCGAGTACACGCTTTGACCGGTGACAAGCGTCATTATTTTAAGGCTTGCGCTATTGTCGATACTCTCGAGGCGACGTGTCCGCGTCGAGTGGCACACGTTCGGCTCCGTGAAACGCGCGATCGTCGATCGCAGCGGATAAAGGGGCCTGACACGTGCACCAACACCGACACCGTCGTTCTCCGGAGAAACGCGAGGAACAACCGGCTCTACATTTCACAATCGGCAGACACAATGTTCCAAGGCCGTGCTGCCCGGTCGCCAAGTAGCCGAGATGCTTGTCGAAGTTGAGGCTCGAGCGGGCATCTTTCACCGAGAGGAAAGCCGAAAAAACGATGATCGGGTCTGATGTGTAAACATAAATTCGACACGTCGGAATGGGCCCCTTTGGCAGCGAGGTAACGCGAAAGTTACTTCTACTGTCTCGATATGCGCTACTGAAGCGTACACGTTGCAAGAGATGCTTCTTCTAGTGCTTGTAAGCCATGTTCGTGTTACTATTTCGGTGTGTGCTATCAAATTTGCGATGGTGACACAGGTTTACCAAGTTTTTAGGCTATTTTGGATCCAGGTACCTTGTTGCATCGGTCTCTGCTTCATTCTTTTACTCGACTCTCTTTCTTTACTCGTATCCTAAGATCAGGACTTTGTTCGACCCACTCTAATCTCCAGTTCCAAGTTTTAAGTTAAATTTACGGTGATATTTCAGTCATTCTCAAGTTCCTAGGTTGTTCTCGGATCAGACTGTTAGCTAGGTTCCAACAAGCGGTATCAAATAAAATTTATAGCGATGCTATAGGTTCATCAAGATTTTAGTTCACTCTCTCTCTTTGTCTTTTAATTTCTTGCGATTGTTTCTGATCTATTTCGATGTTAAATCCTCCTTTCTTGTCTGACGTTCTAATATTCTAGCTTCCTTTAGTCCATTCTGTTTTCTGGCTCTAAAATTCAATTTATAGTGCCTCTCTATAATTTCTTGCGATTGTTTTTGATCTATTTCATTGTTAAATCCTCCTTTCTTGTCTGACGTTCTAATATTCTAGCTTCCTTTAGTCCATTCTGTTTTCTGGCTCTAAAATTCAATTTATAGTGCCTCTCTATAATTTCTTGCGATTGTTTCTGATCTATTTCATTGTTAAATCCTCCTTTCTTGTCTGACACTCTAATATTCTCGCTTCCTTTGGTCCACTCTGCACCCTGGTTCGGATACGTGCCTCTAAATCCAATTTATAGTGTCTCTCTAGACTTGTTACATTTTCGGTAACTATCGTTTCATTGTTTACTCCTAATTTGTCTCGTGATCTGTAGCTCGTCATCTAGTACCATGACATCTTTGATCTACTTCGTTCTCCAGATTCAAATTGAAGTTATAACCAATCGTTGAGTTAGTCAGGTGTTTAGTTACCCTTGTTTCGCTATCTCAGTCCCCCATCTTGGTACCTGCTCTATTGCACTACCTTCTTGGACCACTGTACTCTCCAATCCCAAAATTCCAACTTCCCAATTGAATTTATATCAATACCCTAGATTCTCCAAGTCTACGGTTACATTCGTCTCGCTATTTCGCCTTTCTCTACCCTGCTATCTGCTCTCTCCACACATTTTTCCCTTCACTGCGCCCCCGTGGTCGTATACCACCTTATTTAGAGCTATCTAACGAGACCCGGTATCAGAAGTGACCATCGTGGCTCGTCACTAGCATCGACTCGGGTCGCGACGAAGGTGACGCACGAGGAGAGATTCGTGCATCGATCGCTGGACCGTATCACAGGCGACGTCAATCCTCGCGTGGCATGCTAGAAGCGTTCCTTGGTGGTCCGTACGAGCACGATAGAGGAAGCATGGCAGCGAGTTCAGTTTAGAATCTGTGCAGACACATTCCATTCCGAAGCTGACCGACGGTCCCGGGAAGCCCCTCCTAACAGCAGCGTCCGGTCGCTGAGCTTCGACGTCCAAAGGGGAGAGATTGCAGTCTCCGACAGGCCGACGGACACGCATACCAGACTCTGCTCAACGTCCAACCCAGGCCCGTGTTGTGCGCGAAAATGATACTGCTGCGGATAAAAATGACCGTGCCCTGCGTGGATGCGTTTGGAGCTTACGAAGCTGAACGGAAGATCCTTTCCTCGGGATGATCCCACGTATTGGTGGGAGAAACGAGGATATTTCGGGTATTGCTTTAATGGTAAATGTTGTCTAGGTTCTCCTGTTCGCGTTGATGGAACAAACGTCTTCATCTTGATGAAGAAAGGAGAAGAAGAATCCTAAAGGGCTGGTCGCGATACGGAATTTTTTGAAGCAATTATTGCTGCATCATTGTGAACGTTTGTCTCTGTGTAATTAAGTACACGCGTCTCCAATTTCTGATAAAGTAGCATACAATCTGAAATGTGGATAGGTGTATGAAAACTCGTGTTTCAAATAATTCTTTAAAGCTTCTTGAACGAAGGAGTTTTTCAAACTATAAGATCAGATAAAATATTAAAAGATACAGTGAAAGACACTTTCTAAGAATATTTCTGAATATTTCTCTGATCTTTATATTCTATGTCTACCACACGAACATTCTAACCGTGGGACGTATTCACAGAGAAAAATGGGGAAACAAAATATTGAAAAAATATAAAAAAATTCGCTAAGCATCGTGGATACTTTAGAAACTGATAGGAACGATGAAATTGAAGATGCTGAAAGAGATTCGTGTTCTGGCAGGGAATTAAAATTTCAAAAGGAACAGTACAATGAGCGCCATTTTTTAAGAATATTTTTGGAACTTTTCTCTGATCTTCGAATCATCGTTCGAATTGCTCGCGAGCAATGATTGGAAAACAAAATACCCACTGATTTTCAATTTCGAACCACGTATCTCGGGGGCGCAAAGAATATAGAGAATTTGGCAAAGTATCGCGATGCTATACGTTTCTAAAGGTTCATCGATAAGCGTGTATAGACTGAACGAAAGTGACAATGCGAAAAGGCGAAAAAAGGGGAGAAAAGAAAACGTCTGTTACGGTGGGAGGACGCGTTAAAAACTTGTTTCGCATACGAAGCCTCCCGTTTCTTTCATCGGCGATATTTTTTGTTACCTGGAAATATGAATTATGATATTCGGCTTGGACGGCGATAGTATCCGGGTAGAACGGCCTGAAAAGCGAAATAGTTGCAAGCTGGAATGAACAGCACTTTCCCCGGTCAAAACGGAATAGAAATTTGAGGCTGCAAAGGCAGCCCAATTCTCTGGGATATTACGTTGCAAAAATTCCCTTTGAAGATTCATAATCCTTCTGCGAAATGCCTCCATGCGGCCAGGAACGCTCGCCGCGCGTTCGACTCACGGCTTTCTTATCGGCGCGTTTTCAATGAACAGTAATCCAGGCTTGTGTACCGGTAATTGTGAAATTCCACGGACGTCTGTACCACTGTGGATATCGATCTCGTTGACAGGCTTAGGCGCGGTGCAACGAGCATAGAATTCTCGGTAACCTCGCCGGGTTTTTAGCCGAGTCAGATAGCGCGGCCGCCATGCGAACCCTGGCTGCGATGCAGATGAAGTTGTAAACAAGTAAACAAAATACGGAAAGAATTATCGAAGCGGTACGATGCCACTTTACCATCGACACGCTTTGATCCTGGCCCTAACAGCAACACGAACTTCCGTCGATTTGTCTGTTTTTCTAATACGTGTTTAGAGTCCTCTTGGAGGTTCGCTATTTCTCAACTTGACGTGCGGTACGGGATGAAGAATAGCGACACTAGGCGTAACCGAATAGGTGGTAAATGGGTAGGCTTCTAAAATCTCGCGCAGGTGATCGGAAGGTGCAACGATAAATTGCAGCTCATCAGTCTTCCGGCTGCTCGGTAACGCGTCACCTTGCGGCCTCGGCGTATTAGTTTCACAGGTAAACCCTGCAACACCGCTTCCGAACTTTTGTCCTGTACTTCGTGGCGTGTCGTGAACGTGTCTCGATTATGCTTCTATCGTCGGACATTTAACATCGGGCCCCCGAGGGCGAATAGCGCGATTAATTCGAGTGTCGTAAGACGCGGCGAAATTGGGTATCGTCGAAGGAAAATTGAGAAGTTTCCCGGACTATGACTAGAGCTGTCCTTAACACGGGACAATGGAATAGACGTAGAAACGAATATGACATTTTTCGAGTAGCACCTAATTTTGTAGTGGAAACCTAAATTTGTAGAGTTACCGTGTTCCGTCGGGCGAAGAACGTTGGTCTCCTCGGGTATTTGCAGCGAGTCCATTATTCTATAGCTCTTCGCTGAATTTTTCATCGAAATATTTTCTGTCCCTACGATTTTCGATTCCGAAAAGACTACAGACATCTAGACACGGAGGATATACCGAACCGGAGGCTAAATTCGGTTAGAACGCTAGATCCGATTTCCAATTGACGAATGTTCGTACTAGCCGAGACGCTCGAGCGAAAAGGGACGTTGAGAGTTTGAACTCACCGACACCGGCAACGTGAATCTTCTTCATCCACGGATAAATCACACGGTCCCCGTTCTCCTCGTCCTCCTCCTCGTCCTCCATCATCCCTGGCGACCCGTCCATCATCTGATCGTCCTCCATGTCATCCTGATCGGACCCGTCGTCCACGTGATGCTGTTGTTGCGACTGCTGCTGGCTCTGCTGCTGCTGCGACTGTTGTTGCTGCTGTTGCGTGTTCTGTATATGCTGAGACTGTTGCGCGCTGGTCGGTTGCTGCTGCAGATCCGGCGAGTTGTCGCGATGCAGCTGGCCAGAACTGGCCGGGCTGCAGGCATTGCTATCGTGCGGTGGCTGCTGCTGACTCGGCTGCTGATGATGCTGAAGACTATCCGGCGGCTGCACGTGATTCTGCATAATACCCGGTGACAGTGGAGTGGACCCCAGGACAGTGGACGCCGACACAGGTGGTTGCTGTTGCTGCGGCTGTTGTTGGTTCTGCATCGACGATGGACACGTGAGCGGCGGCTGTTGAGCCTCCGGCGGCATCGCCAGAGAGCCCACCGCATGATGATGAGGATGCAGGCTGGCATGATGAACGGCGTGCACTTGATGGTGAGGATGATGCGGTCCGTAGTAGCTACCGTAGCCGGCGTAACCTCCGTTTAGCTGCACGGCTGACGACGCTCCGTACGGCGTGGACGCCGCTTGATGATGATGCTGATGATAACCGTACTGCAGCTGGTGAGACTGCGGATGATTCAAGTGGTGGCCACCCCCACTGGTGGGAAAGAAGTCCGCTCCAGTGGACGGGATGTAGTTACTCTGGCTGTACTCCTCGCTGGGTGGAAACTTGGGGTCCACCATGACGGAGGTCGCTGCCAAATGGTGGCTACTCGCCGCTTGCTGATGTTGGTGATGATGATATCCACCGCCGGCGGATGGATTCATCAGGAACGAACTCATGTTTGCGAGGATCTCGACTGAATTTTCCACACCGACCTGGTTTACAACCTCGTCGCACGCCGGCCAACGATCGACGGTAGACACCAAGTTCCTTTTCCGTTCGTCCGTCTCTCCGACGTGGTTCCAGGATTAATTCGTCGAATCGCACGGTTCCATGTTGACGATATTCATTGTTGGAAGCGTACACACCGCACTGCACTGTAGCCCGTGGCCGACATCCCTCTCTGCCGGTGCGAGCAGGGTGACTTTTTCCACCGGAGGGGAAAGGGTACCGCGTCTAGACGCAGAAGGCGGAAAAGGAAGAAAGACAGGGGGAGAGAAAACGAGCGAAAAGAGCAAGACCACGGAGAGTAGCAGACTCCCGGTGGACAGCTGCTTATCCTCTCCTCTCCTTCCGCCACTTTTGCGATCTTCCACGAAGCTCCGCGGCCTCGTTCGCTCCTTCCCGCCCACCGAAGCCCAATTACCATACCACGTGACCGCGGCTCCGACCAATCAGAGCTGCTCCCAGTCCGCGACCATGATGGATAGCACGGCACGCATGCAACACGTGAGTGGCGCCACGAGAACCACTGCGGCAGGTGCACCAACTTCTTTCTTCGTGCCTCCTCCGTGTGCGACGGTCACCAGAGCAGCTCTTCTACGCACTCCTTCTCTCTGACATCGGTCCTTGCCAATTTTGTTCCAATTCTACACCACGCACACGTTCATCGACCACGATCTCCGCAACCTCCGATCATCGACTCGCAATCCCGGACTCATCGGGCAGATCCTCCAATCGGAGCTCGACGAATCCTCGATTTCCCCGAGATATCCGATCACCAGAGACACGTCTTCGAATCCCGATCGATCCCATTCACTTCACACCGGTGAATTCGAAGCTACTCGAACCGAGGAACAGAGGCACCGTCTCGCACCGGGCAAGCTGTCAGAGAGCCATGAAAGTGAGCTCGTCCTGCCTCGGCAGAAACTCGTCTGGCAACTCCGGCAACTCTGTTCCCAACTCCCTCCAGGTCCAACGAGACCGGCTGGCTTCGAGCCGTTGCGGAGAGCCGGGACACCCCCTCTCCTCGTCGTTCCTCTTACTCTCCCGCCAGCTAGCCCCACTCCGCGCAAGCACGAGACCAACCCCTGCCACGGAGAGCGTGGATCCTGTGCCCTTATGGGGCCATACTCCAGGGTACCTAGAACGGTATAGTCACTCCTACGGATCTCCTTAACCCGCCTCCATCCTTCTGAAATCCATCTTACGCCAGCGTGGTCAATGCTCGGCCGAAACGACGCCGATCGACCATGTCGTCCGACGTTATTGAGATCGTGCCATTGGGGCTTAAATGATATCGCCATGCTAATTGGGGTGTCTCGTCGGGGTGACTTGCCACTTGCCGTATTTATTCCGCGTTTCTCGCGATAGTAGACTCCTTGGGGCGTTGGGACGGATGTTTGTATCTATTACGAACGATAGGGTAACGCGGAAATATGACAAAACAGTCGGTCGAGTCGATCGGAAACGGAAAATAAGTAGAATAGCACGAGTCTAAGCGTGAGCTATCAAAATTTTATCACCGGCTGCACTTCAATTTGCATTACTAATGCGAACGTTTTTTTTTTTTTTTTTTTTTCCTGACAGCGGACTGGTCGACGATTAGACCGATAATATTCCATGCATATAAGCTTATCAATGGTCGGGACCATTCATGGTCGATCGTCTATCGGGTCGGCACCATGATTATCGCGACGTCGGCCGCTGCCTGCTCGGAACCGTGCGTTACGTAAGACGTTTCGACGCGGACCAAATTGAAAGTAATGGCTCCACAGCGTTCTTTCACCGCGTGTTTATATTAGTGCTCTACAAGTGTCTCGCTGCACTCGGTCAAGTACGTCTACCCGCGATCAGCTGCGTGGAGCAAAGCGTATAAAGCGCCGAGTCATTACACAAAGAGCACACTCACTCTGTTTTGCCGTGCCACGACAATGCTCCATGGCGAGGCTTCTGCAAACCATTTTGCTATCCCGAGTTTTACTTCCACCGTGCGAAACAGAGCGCCATTGCACCTGGAAAATCCTCTGGGCTACTCGTTCGCGACTAAGAGCAGGAGTTGGACACTTTCTGCCAACCTTGGAAAATTTGGGTAAGTTACGAAAATTATCCGTCGCAGAATAGAATAATTTGGGATGTTTTTGACACTGATTCACTGCTTTCACGATCTGAGGAAGTTGAATTCGTCGCGCGAATTTAATTATCAATTGGACTACGAGATGTCAAAGTTCATTCCCTTATTCCGTATCCACTAACTTCAAAAATTAGCTATCCACCACGTAACGATTATGCCACAAGATATTTCAGACGTAAGAAGAAAGAGGAAGAAAACTGCTAAGCACAAGCTCGAATAACTTCGAAATCTATAATATAGATTCAGTCCAAGTGGTGAGTTGAGTTGGTTTTAATACTAATTTAAAGTAATGATTAGATTAGAAGTAACTACGTGTGAACTATTGAAACGAAATTATTTTGGCATAAATGGTATGACCGAGCTTAAGGAGAAATAAGAAAAGCTTCGAACTGTTATACCTTTACAGCGAAAAGAGAAAATCTTCGAATGCAAAGGGTTAATTCGTCATTAGGGTTGCGCGATGGTTGAGGGAAATTCATGCGAATTTCATGGCACATTAGTCGTGGTTAAATATGTCTTTTTATTCCATTTTTATTCTTCGTATTCCTAATTCTTCCCCAATTTTCTTGCCAAGAAGAAATGTATTACTCGGGGGTGTCGAGTTAACTCGTCGTTGGAAGATGGTTCTCCGACATACGCGATGGGTTAATTCGCGATGGCTGCTCGAGGAAAATCTACGTAAATTTAATGGTAGATTCGTCATGATTAAGTGTCTTTTCATTTCTCACGTTTTATATCCACGATAGCTCTTTATACTCCAAATTCTTTTGCAATTTTCTTTTCTGACAGGAAATTATTAACCACTTTAGCGTTCTTAGAAGACTATGGAACGAAATCGAATCACACTCGACGAACACGGGACTTTACGTCTTTACAGCGGAAGAATATTCGAGTGCGGAGGGTTAATTGCATCAGGAGATCTCACGGTCAGTCCATCGCGAAGTACCATAAAAAATCAGCTAGCCAGCGAGCAACCTCTGGGAGCTAAGAATGTCGCAAGAAACCAGGAAGAATACTTTAGTCATAGGGGGAATACGGCGAGCCCATTAGGAGGGCGACAATAAAGGCACCGCGGCAATATTTCCCGGCGACGGAGGCCAGTGCAGAAGAAGAGCATCGCGGCGGAACAGGAAGAGGGCGGCAATTGAACGAGCCCTGAGAGCGCGTCACCTGTTTTTTCCCGGTTTTCGCTCGCTTCCTCGAGTCGAGGTTTTTCGTTAGGCAAGATACGACGCCGCGGCTTATTTCTATTTTTCTTACGGCCACTCCACGCTTCTCTAGGACCAAAGGAACGCCGCGTCGAGTGGAATCTGCGAGGGGGTTGAAGGGGCTTGCGGATGACGCAAAACGAGAGCAAAGAGGGTTGCGCGGACGTTGTCTTCTCGTTTTGCGGATCGAACTCTGTCTCTGCGGAACCCACGCTCTCCCCGAGCTTCCCTCTCCGTCTCTCAACCCCCGTGCACCCCGTCACGCTGTCTTCTGGCAACGTTCCTTCTTTCTCTGCCCTCCAGCCGCGTCTTCCAACCCCGCTGCTGCCCGAGTCCTCGCTGTTCCTCTTCTCTGCTCTTCCGGCGAAACACGATCAATCACTTTTCCCGGTGAGCCGGCATGACACCCTCCTTTTGCACCCACAGCCACCCCTGCACCCGTAGTTCGTCAACGACGAGTCCCTCTCCCCTCCCCCCGTCGCCCCTGCCACCTCCACGCGACCATCGCGATCTCCCGGATCACGATTATCGCGAGATCGCCCATGAGAGCTCACCGACAAACGACACGTGTGCCACGGCCCCCGAGAGTCGAGTGGAACCGAGGAATTAGGGGTGGCACTTTCTCTGCAACTGTTGTTTCGGGGCGCGGATAAAACCGGTGGATTTTCTGGGATACAGCACGTGCATTGTCATTCAGATTCTTCGGTGGTTAGAACAACGGGATTAACATCCAGTAACCCGTCTGTAAATTAAAGATATATCTTCTGTAACTCATCGAAGATATTACTATTTTTCAGTTCGATTTTATAAGAAATTGCACGGCGCATGTGCGGTAGTCGTGTAAACTTGGAAAGTAATAGTGATTGTCCGCCATATTTTGTACGGATTATAAGTTTCTACAGATATTCCGGTGATTTTGTGGTCCTTTACGGTATCATTCGAGCACTTTATAGAAAACCATAGAATTAACCATGGTATATATTCTTGAAACGTATGAAATTTCTTACAGGGTGCATCGCAAATAAAGAATTCCTCTACAAATAACAATATAATCTACTTTCCTGACAGAAACTTTATATTTGAACTATTATAATAGTCACGATTATAGTATGATTGGTAGAAAAATGTTCCTCGAAGCACAACCCTTCTTTCGCTTATGGTACTCTTACAGTCCACTCTTCGCTATAATACTTGAAACATAAAATTCCCGCAATACCAATCAACATCCTAGTTTCTGAAACGGACAAGAATTTCGAATAATTCGAATAATCCCGAAGCAAGCTCGGCTGAAAAATCTCTCGTATTCCAACGATCTTCGGCCGCGAATTCCGAAGCAACCAGCGTTCGAACGTACTTCTGCATAATGGCAGCAATTTTTCCGACTCGTTCGTGGCGGCGCGAAAAAACCGCGTTGGCCAGTCGGGAGCGATTTCCCGTGGAAACCCGTTTGGCTGGAATTTCTCGGCTAAGTTCGCGACCGGAGGCGTCGCGCGTTGCGAACCACCGAGTTCCGTCGTGATAATGATAAATGGGAACGCAGTAGTTTACGATTTAATATCAATCCACCCGGCCGGCTGCTTATTATCGGCCATTAGGAAAGTTTTAATAACGCAATACGCCGTTGCCCGGCCTGGGGGTGGAACCGTCGCGATTTATCACTTTCATCGCTTTATTACCGGCCTGCTACGCTTTACTTGTTGATCGCTCGCGACAAGATCACCGGCGAATTTTAATTCCATTTTTCTTTTTTTCCACCCCTTTTTCCCCTCTTTTCCGGCCCTTTGGCGTAGGCCTGTTGACTCGATTGCGCCGAGTTGAGTCGATCGATCGTTCGCGATCGCCGTGAATATTTATTGATCCCCGAGTTCCAAATGCCGAACCGAATGCCGAACCGAGGATTTTGAAAAATTTTCCATTCAGTAGACAGCCGCGATTCGACGTTTCCGAAATGGCTGACGTCTCGAGGACTCGCGATATCGTGGATCATGGCGCGAGAGGGACGAATAATTTTCCAGACGCACGAGTAGCAATTTCTTGTCGAAATGTTTACGGTTGCACT